CTATAAAAATCAGAAAGATTAAGAAAGTTAAATAAACCAAAGCAAAATGTCTACCAGTTGAATGATAAGACAACATTCTAGACTGAATGAATAATATAAAGTAGTTGAGTACTTTGTGTGAAAAATTAAAGTGTAGACAAAAACTATAGAAAGTGAAAGGAACAAGATAAAATGAAAAGTGTAGAAAGACAAAATGTTTACCAGTTGAATGATAAGACAACATTCTTAGACTGAATGAATGATACAAAGCAGTTGAGTGCCTTGTGTGAAAAATTGAAGTGTAGACAAAAACTATAGAAATTAAAAGGAACAAGATAAAATGAAAGTATGAAAAGAAAAAAAAATATCTAGTGCAGTTGAATGCAGAGACAATATTCAGAATGAATAACATAGAAAAGTTGACAGTTTCTATGTGAGAAATGGAGATATAGACAACAAATATAAGTGGGAAGAACAAGATAGTAAGAGAGTATAAACAAACTGAAACATTCAGCAGTTGAATAATAAGACAAAACAGGTAACAGTTTCTATATGAGACTGAACAACTACAAGCTCATATTGCTCTCTGTCTCAGAGAACAGAGTGCTCACCTATAGCACTGCACAATTCAACAAGTAGCCAGTGATACACTACAGCTTCATAATTGTCTGTACCCTCCCTTCTTATCAGCTCTATCAGATATGATAAAGGGGCAACAGCTATCCTGCCACATGTTGCAAATCGAATCCGTCCCTGTGCAGCAAGTACTGATGCTACTAATGGGTGTTCTGTTAATGTGGCGCTCCTACTGTTTCAGACAGATACATATTCATGATCCTCATTATCTACAAATTTTATCTGATACTATAAAGTGTAGTTATTAGTGTATGTGTGAGATGTGTAAGTGTACAAGAACGAACCGTCATTTCCCCTCTTTCTGGTGGTATGTAAGGTACACCTGTTATTGCACAAACTAATAGGTTGCATCTAGTAGTCTTTGCATTGAAATCAATATTGTCTAGAGGAAGTGTTCTTGAGAAGCTCTATGCAACACTCTGAAACAAGTCTGGATGAGGGATGCTGGTTCCTTTAAGAAAGTCGAAAACAATGTTGTGTACAAGTTCTGATACAGACACTGTACCAAGCTCTCTTGCTAGTGTTGCACAATTGTCCCTCTGAGTATGTGTATGGACAGTAACAGAAAGCAAGCCTTGAAGGTTGTTAACATCAGTAATGCATGATGCATAGCATACTGCAATCAAAGCGTCTGAGCCTCCTTCCACTCCATACACAGCCTGTCAAGTCAAGCCTTTAGACAATTGTCATATAAATAATAAGGTACATACCTTTCCAAAACTAAATTGTAGGGAAGAAGGCACATCCAAGCCCTTGAGTGGCAAGCAAGGCATGTTCAAGCCCTCAAGGAGTGCATCCCATTCAGGATGTCTGAGGTCTCATGGGCCAAGGATAGCTCACAATAGTATGTTGTATACAATAAAATTGTGAGATTCAATTGTATGATTCTCATAGCTTGCAGCCTGAAAGAGGAATTAGAATTTAGCATAAGAGAATGTATACAACTTACCTGTGATTGCATGTATGAACTGAAATACTTCTGGAATGGACTGGGGTTGCCTGATGGACTCATGTCTTTCCATCTTTGCAGGTCATTGTGGATTTCAGGATACCAAGTTCTGATGAATTCCTTGTGTAGAGATCAAAAGTCGCAATTGTTGTATGCTATCTGTAGCACACACAGACTCAAGGGGCCTGGTCTAAGCTTGTTCAAGACCATCAACAATGTCAAGGCTCCTAGTACCTTTAGCTTTTTAAGCCTTTCAGTAGGTACATGTGCTATAGTACTCTCAGTAGTAATTGTCTTCAGAGAGCAATAATCTGCAGCAAGTCTCTCAAACCAAAGTGCTTCCTGAGCAACATACTTTGACATTACTAAAAACAAGGCCTCAACCTCTAGGCCAGGCCCGAGTGTCACAATAGATCCGTCCTGGCAAACTCTGTATATGTAGATTAGTTTAGTTCAATCAATCAGTTTAGGTGACTCACACTTGGACTGTTCTCAGAGGTGCTAAAAGTTTGCTATAGTTACACAATGTAACACACTCCTCTATAGCCTCAATTAGCTTGTCTGCCAGATCTTGTACACTTGTGCTACACAGCAACAATTCCTCAGTATTGCCAGTTAGGAATCCAACAGCTTCATACACTTGAGCTGAGAAATCTTCCATTTCAAAACTGAAGCTATCCTCATCATACAGCAGAGTCCACAGATGCTCCCACAATATGGGAGGAAGTGCATTTGAAGGTGATGTAAAGGAAACATAGTTGGGTGGATTCTCCTGACAGAGCAACAAGGGTCTCTGGAAGCAAACCTGCCTTGCTGGATAAGGTGGCAGGGTACAACAAAGAGTCTGAGGAGGTTGAACAGGGCTTGCTAGGGCTGTTGGGATCTCAACATTCTAAGAATGATACATTAGGGTTGGATAACAATACAAGCTTGCTACTAACTTACAGGAAGATGATTGTCTGTTGCATCAGGCAAAGTCTCAGTACAACCATTCTCAGTACTAGTATGAGTAGTACAGAAGCATTCAACTTCTGTAACTGTGGCTACAGATGGCTGATCTTCCTCAAGACCTTTAAAAAAACGTTCTGCAACACAATTGTGTAGAGTACTGTCCTGCTTAACTTTAAGAGGCTTGGCAGCAACAACTGGAATTGAAGAATATTCAGCATTTGCAACTAAGCAGGTAACATCCTGACACACTAGTGAACACAACAAAGCAATTATTTTCTAACACAATGTCAGGCATTACAAACCTGTTACACATACCTAATAGATCCAAAACAGTCCAACTCAGATCAACTGGGCTACACTTAAGGTGTAAGGGCACTACAGAGGTAACCTGTACAAGGGCACAATCATGTATCTTCAACAGCTTTAGAGGTAATGTCTCATACAGTTCATACATGCTTGGCAGCCAAGAAAAGACATATTTGTGCTCCCTTTCCATCTCCAAAGCCATGTCTTGAATGACTTGAGAAACAAGCATGTCTTGGGGGACAGTCATTTTGAACAGAAGTCCATAGTTTTGCAGTTTTGCATTGAATGTATCCTAAAGGAAATTGTATAGAAGACAGAATTGTGTGCCTGCATTCTGTAGTACAAGTCAGCTTTAGTGTACTCTGTTTTAATGAAGAATGGGGGAAATGTCTTATACAACAGGGGTAAACCTTAACTGTAAGGCAAGCAGATGTTCTTCCATCATCTGCAATTTCTAAACAATCTGTCATTTTAGGAGGGTGCACAAGTGGAATGTTCCTAATTGTTAGCATCAGCCTAACCAGAGACCCCCTTCTTGTGCCACACCTTGGTTGAGGAGCTACTCTTAGAATTGTTTGTCCAGCAGACAATTGCCTAGCCTTGTTTACTGTTCTTGTATCAAGGTTACATCTAATGTGTGATAAATCAGGAGGTGGTTCTAGCACAAGTTGTCCTGGTTGTAGGGAGGGGGGCAGTGTACTAGTTGGAAGCAAGAGTGACTGAGGTGAACCTGTATACAGGTGGGTGTTACAGGATGCAGATACAGGCTGGCTTGATATTCCTGAGTGTACAGTACTGTAGGAATGTGGGATTTGTGACAGAACCCTAGCACTTTGGTACCTCTCTAGCACAGGTTCAACAGGCAGCTCCTGAGTGGACACAGTAGGAAGAACTTCATTCATAGTATTGACAGAGGAACTTAGCAGTTCTGGTAGAGTGAGATTGTTTTGCAATACAAGTTGCTGTACATATGCAAGCAGCTCACTACTGTAGCACAGTGCCTCACTCATTATGTGTTCAAGGAAAAGATATGGGGGGTGTAGCCTGTATAGCAACTGTTCTCAACCTTTTATACATACTATTTGTCTGACACAGTCCTGCCTGAAGTTTTCTCACAAGCATTGAAGGGATGAGAGATTGCTGACCTGATAGAGTGAATGTGTTTCCCTTTCTCAATCTAGGTACTATTAATTGGCTGCTTACTCCTCCTGATCACAACACACTGACAACTGTCAATTGGCCACCAGCAGTTATCATCATTTAGGACTGGAAAACATTCTTCACAGACAAGCATCATGTCACAGAGGCAAATCCAATTGTTATTGGTTCAATTGATATTTGGAGCACATTTCTGAAAGGGAATGTGTTAAGACAAGACTACACAAGAGCATGTCTCAGATGATATAAACTACATTACAAGTAATGATGAACAATGATGGAATACCTTCCATCATACATTCTACATCTGAGACATACCTACATAGTATATATAGACTAACTAATCAACAGACAATGAAGCAAGCTGTGAGAGAGTGAGCCGAGTCCACTATCCCCCCTCTTTGTGTGATCTCTCTAAGCCTCTCACATAACCTCTCTTCCCCCCTTTCTCAACAGGTTATGAGCCTTGAGCTCCCTGCCTACACTTTATCTACACTCTACTATGTCTATGCTCTATGCAGTTCTACACATCACATGCACACACACAGCATACTACAATGTAGAACTCAACTCACCTATCTGAGTATCCTAAACGCAAATCAATACACTGTGAACGTACAATCTACTGTACTACATACAACCCAGACATTATATGATTGTCATCTTAGTGATTATGATCATTGGCCTAGTAGTAACGTAATCTATGCAGGCAATGTTCAAACTACAATGAGTATCACTTATTGCAATTATTAAATGCTAAAATATTCTATAATATCACAGAGATCATGTTATAATAAATTAACTGATCATACTACAGACAAACATTAAAAAGATTAATAAAACAAACACTACTCTTCCACTATTAACATTACAATAGTACAAATGATTGACACTGTCAACAAGCATACATATGTTATAGCATAAATCAAATAATAACATATATAGTAATATCACAGCCGAACGATTAATGCTCAAAAACGAGTGCATATATACTAAACAGCATATTAAATTGAATAAATAAAACATTTAACATGTATTATAAACAATAATACAATTGCAGACACTATAATAACAATAATAATAATGATAATAATAATAATAATACAGATAGAACTAACAGAACGAATACAGAACAATATAATAACTAACACATATTATGGTTGAGCAATTATATGTAACATATTGGATTCAGCAGTTACATGTCGGATATTGTGATTACTTATCAGATACCAAATATAATACACATATCTAAGATATACAGACGAGTACAGATATACAAAAGTATAATGAATAACTACAAATCAAAAAACAATGCTACAGAGTGTATAAACTAACTATGCATGAAGAAATAATGTTATAATGCATAAATACTGATTACAGCACAAGACAAGTGCAAAATTATAATTATTAAACAAATGATACTACTTTACACATTAATACAATTGTGTAAATGTATACTAACAATGAATGAAAGAATTATATCTCTAATATACTCAAAACAACACATCAATACAACTTAATTATGCAGAATGTGTTATCACAGCAGCTGATTATATAATAAATTTCGAAGTTGCAATGGCAACATCAACTGTACAGTGTATATACCTTAATGAACGATTATTAAATTTACATTGTGACAACATAGCTTGTAGGAGCAAAGTATTAAGCTGATAAGGCTATTACAACAAATAATACAAATATTATTATTATGAATGCATTATTATAATAATTACAATCGAAAACAATCATAATATAATATGATTAAATAAATTAATAAAATGTTTAAGCCATTATCTCGGACAGTATAATATAAAATAGGTAATAATGGATGCAAGCATACTTAATAGAACTCAGTACATTTACTAAAAGCACTACATAAATAATAATTACAACATTATTAAACGAATATTATACAGAAACAAACAAATTACCATATGTTTTCAACACAAAAACAAAATATTCATTCATAGTTATGAACAATTATTAATAACGAGTGTGAACAAAACTTGTATATTATACATAATGTGTACTTATCTACTATAACAAACAAAATACACATTATATAAGTTGACGAACGTTAACAGTAACAAAGATATAATAGTAATAACATTTAAATTACTCATTATAGAACATAACACACGTTACACACTGTTATAAAATACTAATAATTAGAAATCAAACCACGAAAGCGATTACAATTATTATATATAAATATTATATTATAATAACGATTAATAAACATTAAAGAAATATCCAATTCTTTGAAGAAATACCTTCTTGAATTGAAAGGGAGAAAATGGATAATATGCACGAAAAATTAATAACTAAATATAAACAATGGAACAGAAAGTATAACACTACAGATGCTACGAAAAATAGAATAAAAATAGAATAACGAAATGCACAGACTAAGCACTGACTAAGCAATAGAAGTTACAGACAGACATAATGGATCATAAAGGTAAATCATTCAGTACGAAGCAAAACTACATTGATCAGAACTAAATAACAGAAGTCAACACAATGTGTGATTGAACTTCAACATTAAATAAATAATAATTCTACTATGAAACAAATGCTCATACTTGGCAAATAATATTAATATGATAATATAATTAACTTAACAGTGTTTAATACAAAAATAAATAATATACAGACGATTATCACATCATATAATGAAATAATTCATCAATTCAGACTATAGTTCATGGATAAAAGTGATGAATAACGAAAATAATACTTCAGAACGTACATAAAACAATAAATAATATATCTATATGATAATACAAATATAATTGTGATATAATTCACAACTACAACAAACGATATGCAGATAATAACTATATAAACAAGTATGGAGCACATACATATAATTAAATAAAACTATTAAATTGATTCTTGTACAAACAATCAATTTGCCCTCACTGTGTGATTAATACAAGCATGAACAGCATTATAATACTATGAAATACATCAGATAGATACTAATAGGTATATCTATACAATGATTCAAATAAAATAAATAAAACCAATATATAAAACGTTTTACCTAGCAAACCAATTAATAAATAAAACGTTGAACGAATACTACAATTGTGCATAGCACTGGATTAACTAAAGAATGCTAGGAGACAATTATAGTAAACATAATCCAATATATCAATTATATGCAGATCGTGTTATAATACATCATTCTTTGCAAAAGAAAAAGCAAAGAACAATAGCCATAACATACACATATATATACACAATACTACAATTGTGATAATTCACAACAACATTGTTAATGATAAATAATACAAATGCACGTTAGTAATAATTATCAACAGATAACTATGTTGGCTATTAAAGAAACAACACAACAGATCACATAGTTACTCAGGATGCATCAGAAACAATCAATTAACAAACATAACATTAATAAATTAATACACAGATATAAACAATAATGTAAAGTGAATGAACAAACAGTACATTCATGATATAATACATATATGATGCACCTAGACACATAGCAAGATGCCTGCAGCCAGACATAACATCTATGCAACAAATATACATTAGCATAAAACCTCATTGATCTTGGAATGAAGCAACCTGGCAAAAACAAATATTATTATTGATATTACTGATATACGATTGATGCAAAGCTTCAATCCGAAGACATAAATCAGCTATTACTGAATGCTTAATGCATATACAAATGTAGACGAACACAGACAGTAATGATTAAAGAAGGATATCATTGTAACATCGAATATACATTTTACTAGTGTGATTCATTAGTTTCACAGTGAAGTAAAAAGGAAATTACTAGAGTACTCAAACAAACTGAATAACAAACAATAAAACGAAACGAGCAATTGCATTTATGATTTAAATATGCACATATACGTACCTATGCATGCCAACAAGATTCTGCAGGTCTCTGAAGCATTTATAAATTATTTAATAACATTTACAAACGATCTATTATGATAACAATGCTGTTATTAAACAGTATATTACAAACGAACGAACTAATTAAATATACTTAAACAATATAACATCGGACAAACTTAACACAAAGTGGATGACATTCGGAACGGACAGTACACAGAACGGACAATGCATTACTATAATGCTAATAATATTATTATTAACTACATCAAGTTATAAACGCGTTACACGAACAAACAATTGTACAATGCAGTTATAATGATTAAACTATCTATACATACTGCAAGCAAACATCTTACAAGTCTATTTGACCTAGTAAGAGTTTGAAGGGGAGTGTTAAGACGAGACTACACAAGAGCATGTCTCAGATGATATAAACTACATTACAAGCAATGACAAACAATGATGGAATACCTTCCATCATACATTCTACATCTGAGACATACCTACATAGTATATATAGACTAACTAATCAACGGACAATGAAGCAAGCTGCGAGAGAGCAAGCCGAGTCCACTATCCCCCCTCTTTGTGTGATCTCTCTAAGCCTCTCACATAACCTCTCTTCCCCCCTTTCTCAACAGAACGAGAGTTCCTTTTCCTTTGTTGTGTCCTAGAGCAGCAAGCCTAAGGAATTGATTAAACGTTGCAGAAATACACCTGGTACTCAATACTTTATGAATTGTGGAGTCTGCTCCAGTCAGCAGTAGCAAGAACGTCAGCAAATGTCATCTCCCAGGGAGTGCAATGTTACTGTTGACAGGAAATTAGACACTTATGAGAGGAACAAATAAATGTTTTCTTGTAAACTTGCAATGGAACACAGTGTTTCAGGTGATATAAATAAACAATCTTGCTTACTTGTACACTTCTCGCTGCCCCTGGCAGAGTGACGCTCACATAATGGAATTTAAATGACGTGCATTACAACATCAGGTCTCCACAATATAGTATTACCCGATTTGCATCGAGCGGCTCGTCGAAGAACAGTTTCCGGCCTGAGCTTGATCGACTCGAGCTGGCGTATTAGAGCACGTCTTGTTTATGATCCGACCAGTGGCCTATACGCTCATCATTCATTCTCTTTCTAGCACTACTCAATTACTTTGGTTGGTGAACTGCTGTTCAAAGTTGCTGGTATCAGTGGCAAGGCAGAAATTGGAGAAGAAGAAGAGTCGAAATGAATACAGCGGATACATCTCGCAAGGCACTTAGGGACGTGCTTGGTAAAGAAAGTCGAGATTGCGTTCTTACAGCTTTGTATATTGTTCGCCATGATGCCGTCAGCACGGTCAGACAGCCTCATCAGGAAAAAGTCTTAAGGCTGATATTACCTTATAAACATATAAATTATATAAAATTTCTAAAAAATATAAAAGACCATATATCCAACCTCTCAAAATGAGAAAATTATAAAAAGCTATATAAAACACAAAAAGGTATGTACATATTGTCAAAATGATTAAGGTTTGTACATGCTTGTTAACATATAAAGTACATTATATCCAACCTCCTAAAATGAAAAGTCATTTCATACTTGTTACATTTAACAAACATTGTGACTGCTTACAAGACTTACAAGGCATTATAATAACTTAGATAATTGTTATTCTGCCTACATTTCTTCTTGTTTAAATATTGAATTATAATTATATTGAAATATATAATACAAATTACAAATACGTATGCTACAGTTAGTACGTTGTTCCTTACCTTGTTCTCTCGCATACGGCAGATGCGGCAGACGCAGCAGAAGAGGATGAATGCGTTCTTGGGTCGTTTGATGTAGTCTTCGTCAAAATGCTTTGGTTGTCGCTCGGTCCCCACAAGTTGAATTGCGTGTGTGTGCAGGTTGTGAGGTTGGGCGGGTTGTGAATGTGGTGCTTATGCTTGTGAGACAGGTTGTGAGATTGACGGGCTGAGAGTGTGGGCGTGGGCATTGGCATTGTTGGTGTGAGTAGGTAACTGTATCAAGGAGATGGACGCACTGCGACGGCATACGGCGAGCATGAGTGGTGCATCAGGGTTGAGATCTGCAGCGTTGAACAAGCTGATTGGGGCAGTAGGCGAAGCTGTGTTTGTACGTGCGTGTTGCATACTCTGACTACGACGAACAATCAGAGGCACAGTGAACTGAGTAGTCGTTATGGATTGTAAAGGTGTTTTTCTGGGATGTTCTGGCTTGAAGGGAGAAGGCGAAATGGAGGTGTGGACAGACTCGGCCTGGGTGGTGTGAATGGTTGGCCACTGCATCCTGTCAATATGGTGTCATCCATAGCAGTGAGGAATGTAAACGCATGTGAGTGTGAACCTGTCAAGAGTGATGTCAAGCATGGAATGGGTGAGGAGGGAGAGGGTGTACGGGGTAAGAGAGAGGGTGTCACTTTGGAAGTGGTCGTACATGGACGTTGTTGCGAGCGTGCGCTCGTCGATTGTTGCTTGCGCTGCAGAGCGGGAAGAATGCATGGAATTATTGAAGAAGTCGTTCAGCGTTGGTCAACAATGCGGATGTGCGAATGCGAATGCAAAAAAGGAAGGCGAACGTAAAAAAAGAAGGACAACGAAGGAGAGGCAACGTAAGCAGCGGAGCGAGGAGCGGGAGGGATGGAAGGAAGACAAAAAGTTGGGAGGAGAGGGATGAGCAACTATCGTGTAGGATAATATGAAGTGGACCAAAGTTGCTTACGCTTTACGTTGAGACTGGGAGGGGACGGTGTAGTCAGCTGCGCAGGGTCTGGGACTCAGTGCGGGCATTGCAATGGCAGATTGGAGAGACGAGTGCAGCGATGTTTATTGTCTACATTGCTGAAGGCAGAGTGACAGCTAGTAGGATGCTTGCAAGTGGAGGAAGACCGGAGAGAACAAAGCGACGACATGGTGGCAGGGCAGAGGGTTAGACTTAGAGAGATGGTGGACGCTGAAGAGAAAGAGTGGCACGCATAAGTGCGTCATTATATGCTCTCGATCTTCAGCAGTTGATTACATAAGCGAGTTAAGTATCAGTCGCCAAATGATAGAACATTTCAAATATTGTATTTAGGTATAACTAACATTGCTAATCTACTTTGTGATATAGTGAAAAGTAATATAAATACATTTAGTTTTCTAAACACACTAATGTAATTATTACAAGTAGATGAAATATCTTCTACAAATATTGTAAACTGTTTGTATAAATAATCTAAGTATAATATACATTTTATATACTTATACTATACTTTTATTAAGATAATAATGACACAACAAGTGTTCTTACACTATTATATGTATTAGTATACCTTTTGCATAAATTATAAGTCAACAAATAATTACTATTCCATTATTATATTATGAATATAACCTTTTCTTTAAAATTATAATTTAAATATAACACAAGCAAAATACTGTCAGTTATTATACAAAGTTAGTATAATACATTTAATAGATTCATAACACTTATGTAGTCTTTATATTCATTGATATGTTTTATTTAAATATTACAAATTATTTACAAGTCTTGTGAATACTTTACAATGTATATATACTACTTATATTACTTTATAAACTCTACAATACATTATAAGAAATGTGACTTTTCCCTGATGCTGCTATTCACATTCGGAAGGTATTGGTGCACTATACGCCTAGAACAGAGCTTGTCACAGCTCATAAACTTCTCGTTCATGG